TTAATTAGGGTGAATTTAGATCTTCCTCCATTTTATGAGAGTGAGCCAAGTGTAGGCACTGTGACTTAACAGACAGTTATGCGACGGAAAAAATAGCTAATTTTTTTCAATCTGATATGTACGACTTTATTGTGCTCTTCTCGAAGCTCTGCAAGAGATGACTATGGACCACTGCCGTGATCAGATTCCAGTAATACCACAGGAATTTTTAACCACATTTTTCCTTTTATTCACTTGGCTATAAAAATCCAGAAGCCATATTAGCGAGTGATAATTGTTGCACTGCATCAAACACGTTCACAGGCGCCTGTGGCCAGAACAGTCACAGATGAGGTGAGCTGGCATCCGTTTTCTGACTGGCCTGCCCGATGAATCTGTGCGGATAGGCACACGTGCATGACGAATGCAGTGAATAATAAGTTGAAAACGCATGGAACCGACCGCGTAAGTAACCACTGAATAACCGAAATCTACTCCAACCCTCAACTCCACTAGATGCTGTCTGGATGGTCTGCACCTAGTGGAGTTGAGGGTTGGAGTAGATTTCGGTTATTCAGTGGTTACTTACGCGGTCGGTTCCATGCGTTTTCAACTTATTATTCACTGCATTCGTCATGCACGTGTGCCTATCCGCACAGATTCATCGGGCAGGCCAGTCAGAAAACGGATGCCAGCTCACCTCATCTGTGACTGTTCTGGCCACAGGCGCCTGTGAACGTGTTTGATGCAGTGCAACAATTATCACTCGCTAATATGGCTTCTGGATTTTTATAGCCAAGTGAATAAAAGGAAAAATGTGGTTAAAAATTCCTGTGGTATTACTGGAATCTGATCACGGCAGTGGTCCATAGTCATCTCTTGCAGAGCTTCGAGAAGAGCACAATAAAGTCGTACATATCAGATTGAAAAAAATTAGCTATTTTTTCCGTCGCATAACTGTCTGTTAAGTCACAGTGCCTACACTTGGCTCACTCTCATAAAATGGAGGAAGATCTAAATTCACCCTAATTAACGATCGTTTGTCCGGACTGCGTGTAATGCCAAAAGCATCACTAAGATCAAAAACCAACTAGAACACTGAACACCTGGCCAAGTGTACCGTAACAAATACTTTACAAAATTCCATGCCATTGCTAGACAAATACCTGAATAGCCTGAGCTTCTCCACACATAAACTAAATAATTTACATTGTTTTGTGCCAAGAACGAATCGCCTATTCTGTTGTTTTTCAATTCACCACCAAAGTTTAGAGTAAACAAAACTGACCAGAAGTTTAAGTGCAATCATCAGTGAGAAGGCATACTTGGTAAGATAGCATAATTTGATTTGCATATTAATCGGATATCATCCACAATCTAAGTAAATGAAATTATAAGAGGAAACAGTTCAGCAGATCAACTACTTTAGAAACAGTTGTCCCAGGCATTCTTTGAAATCATTCCGGTTTCTCGAATCAATATCATGCGCTCCTTCAAACGAACAGCAGTTCACTGTTTTAATTGTAAGGCATTAACTGAATCTCAGTACGTTTTTGTTTGTTTCCTCGTTTCACTAAGAATTCGCTGGAATAATACTTTCCCATTTCTCCATATGTACAGACCCATCTCCCATTTTTGTGATTAAAAACCGCTTTTGAGGTTGCAACCAAATCCTTTATTAATCGTTTTGCAAACGATTCGATTCCCACCCGCATTATTCAGAGATGGCGGTGAAGTCTTCAGTCAGCGCTTGCCTGATCTGCTTGCCTGTAATTAGGGAAAGGAGACAGTCGTAGACAACTGGGGAGAGTCCTTAATAATGCCCATTTTCAAAAAGAGGGTAGTAAGTGTGGTGCGCACAGGAGGATCAGCTTGAGCCCGCGCGTAAAAAACGCTGACGTGATTCATCGCCCATGGTAGCTCGAGAGCGGCATACAGGATTCCAGCATGGGAGTACGAACGATATTTTGAAACGTTTGGGTGTTGTCTGTGCTACTTGCCTTCAGGGATGGGGATCGCAAAATCCCCACTGGGCCTGGTTGCAATATACGGCTGTTAATCTCTGTCAAAAAATCGTTCAGCTGTAGCACTCTTTTGCTGCTTAATTCCCATGCCACCAGAAGGAAGCACGAGGGCTGAGATACTGTCATATTGCCCAGGCCTAGACAGGGGAAGTTGAGAGGCAGAAGTTGGGAGCGAACCACGGATCCTCCAGTCAGTGCATTCGTGATCTAACCACTGAGCCTTCTCGCTCGGTTTCACAAGCGTTCATGTTTTCAGGTTCTATCCAGATTGCCTGAAAGAATGGTTGGTGTGCGCACCTCGGGATGACTGTAGTGAGCAAGCACTAAGTCCCTTTCCCATCCACAATAAGGCTTCCAATAAAATTACTGAAAGGCAGTAAAGCATCAGTGTTCAACACTGACGTCACGATGTCGATGATGATGATGATGATGATAATGATGAACACTGGTATACCTCTGTAACCCACTGTCCCTTATCAGTTGGCTTTTCTAAAACAAACACAGAGACAGAGGTCTGAGTTGTCTTTCGGCTTGAGCTGGGGAGCGCTGTTCACTAAAAACCTACGCTATTGTCACAGTAGATAATCATCCAACCTCTACCTTATTACCAGTTTATTTTGAGAAGGCGTTATCTGAGGGCTTCTCTTCTCCCCTTGCTCTGGGCGAGCATCCTGAAATTATCACAGACTTTACAGTTTACAATTGTGCTGCATCAACCGCCTGTGGAAAGGGGTATCAAATATTGGCTACTGTGTGCGTTTACATTTAGAAGTTAAATTCAAGATCTGCCAGTCAGTTACTGAGACACCAAGTATCTTTTATAACGAGCAAAAACCCAGACATCCTTGTGATCAGTGGTGACATGAACGCGCAATTAGGTATGCTCAAAACCGTTGAGGTAGGATCAGGTGTTTGCCTTAGGTTAGACACAAAGTACACGGACAAACGGGAAAGATTAAAACCTGTTGTACTAACGAGAAATTAATTCTTCGCAGTAGCAACTTTGAGGCTCCTGGAGGTCGTCCGATCACCATTAGAGAAGCCCCGAACGCACTGCCATCAGCTAATGATGCTAAAGATCGCTAGCTGTCTCTCCTTCCTTCTGGAACTTCCGGATGGACTTTCCTCGCGAAATTACCCTTTACTGCCATCCGGGCTTTCTAATCTATTGACTTCACTTACACGAAGGAATCTTCTTTGAAACTGCATAGGCCTCAGTGGACTGGCGAAGAAAACAACCAGTTTCTAGGCCTGGAAGGTCAGAGCGGTTATTTCCGACCTCCTAGACTCGTGGTGCTGTTGTGACATCAAACTTTCCGTCCAGGGCAGAGTTCTGAATTCCACACTGCTTTACAGATTACACTAGAATTATGCGTTCTTTCTTCCTCCGGAGCGTTTTTAGCCCATTGCACGGACTCCAGCTGCTCCCACAAAATGACCCTAGAGTTTATTGGGTCCAAGCAAACTGGACAAACTATTTGGAACTCTGAGATCTGGATCGAGACAAATAATAATGAAATATTATCCTCATTAGTTGATTCATTACGCCTTTGCATGTGCATTTCGTGGCAGATCTCACCAAAGTGTGCTTAGTTCATTAAATGGATGTACAACGCACACTATACTCCCGGTCCGAATTTCGTTGCGAACCACCATCTATCCCAAAGAATGACAATAATTCAGCTTGTTCGTTATGCGGGTATGCGCGTAATAAATTTTAACCCTGACTATGATCTATATGAACCAGCGTTATTCGGCTACATCAAAAAAAGGACCGGTACCAGGAGATTCAGATTGTGCTGAATAGAACAGCAGATGAGAGCAATTTACTCGTACACAACTGTATCTAACTATAAAAACCTCTTTCAGAAGCGTTAAAACTGCAATTAATAGCCATAACAGTGAATAATCTGGCGTCCTCTATAATGCGATTGTTTACCTGTATGTGTGGCAAGCCATTTCCTCAATTAAATCGAAAGGCTTGAAACTTTTTGTGAAAATTTACATCAGCGTTCGACAGGAGGCTCGGCTGTTTTCCCAACATGTGAGCAACCACTCACCTCCTACATATCGTTAACTATCTGAACAGTAATCGAAGTTCAAAGCGGGCACCTTCGAGAGATCTGTCAAGACGATAAGTAAGGTTTCAATCGTCCAGATGACTTCAGAGAGGATGGTAACTATCGGCGGAACAATATGCCTGAAAATGACATACTTTCATTGAAGGGATAACGTTTCAGTGAGAGGTAGTGAGAAGACTAGACAAATATTTCCATGAAAACGTTAGCTAGATCTTTGTGTGAAACGGCGAAAGTTCACTCGGTTCCATCATAGACGGACGCATAATCCGTAGTCTTTGGAGAAAATTGACAGGATGGGAAGAAGGAGGAAGATAGGTCTATAAAGCGCAGACCCGCATATAACATTCTCTGACAAAATTAACGGGAATATAACCTAAGTTACGCCTGAATCCTACGGTTTTGGGTACAAAATTTTCAAAGAAAGTGATGCGGATATCTTTCTGATAGGCCTCTATGGTACGGCACACACTATTGTTCATGTGACAGTTCCGTCCCTCAAATACTTTGCCATTACACATGTATTGTTAGGACAATGAACAAATGAAGCATAAGAATAAAATGTCCTTTTACATGTACTCTAATGAACTTCCGGTCAAATTAGATACGGTTGGCGTATCAATCGTACCGATGATTGCGTTTCTTCCAGTGATTCACAGGTAGTATGAATACAATACAGAACTTGGCTTAGTTGTGGGGCTTTCATTTTATCATAAAAACTAAAGTGGTTTGCGAAGTGCCAGCGGCACCAATATACAACGGAAACTCCCATTGTCGTGCGCTGTAAATCGATTGTTTTTGGTGTGCAACCGACGAGCTAAAACCAAAACTTTGACATCTCTGTAAATAAACCTTCTTACAGCAAGATATTTACTTTAGAAATAATGAAAAGAAAAGTACTGGCCATGTAAGGACTTACTCGGCAGTTGCTTCGCGAACCTTCACATCCCCCAAGACACTCGTCATCGCAATATACCTCGGTAACAGGGCCGTCAACACAATACTTCAAGGGGTTGTTTTCACATTTGACCACTGGAAAAGGGAAGCACTTGGGTTAGACATGTTGCAGTTTTGGCGTTCATGCTATATCGGAACAAGGGACTAGCTCAAAAGGTTGATATTAGACCACATTCGGAAGCCTACAGCTTCATTGAGTTTGTAGCCTTTACAAAACTGACAATCGCCCTCCTCACAAACAGCGTAAAACTAGACTGACGCACCCATCACTTGACAGGAAGACAGTCCGTCACTGTTAGCCAAAAGTGAAGCATGCCAGACATCCCGAAAATTACGCACTCCCGATAATAGCTTTGTGACGAGGAAAGAACACTCAAGTTGTCCCCACACACGAGGTTGACGTAGCACACATTCCGTCTGGACGTCCATCAAGAGGAAATGTTCCCTCAGGAGATACAATCTTTTGCGACATCAAAGTTCTTCGTTCTATTCTCCCTAAAAAACGTCCTGCTCTAGATATGGCATATTTCCGGTCAACAGAAAAGACCGAAACGGTAGTTCCGCTGACCAGAGTTCATTAGCTGATGGCCGAAACCGCTGACACTGATGCCGTAAAATCACCGCACGAGAAATGAGACTGCTGACTCGGTTTGGTTTGTTCACTGGGTCAGCATACTGTCAGTGTGGATTGCAGGTTATGACTGTGAAGAACAGGATCACGCAGCACTCGAAGGATCACAGTGGAATGAAGGATTTGACCTTCCATGTTTTCCCTCAACGTCTTTCGTTGGGTATGAGACGTGTTCTATGAGACAGGGGTTTAACGGCTAGTGCATATCCAAATAAGGCGAATACATAAATGTGGGTTGTGGAATACCCTTAGAAGACAACGCTTAGAAATATTCTGGAGAAGCTGGACAAGGTATTTGTTGACGGATAAAGGTCTGCGGACGAAGTTCAGATGACTAGTTTCAGCCACCCCTCCTAGATACATTAGCTCCGTTGTTTATATATCTGCGCACATCCCGAAAGTGCCTTTTAATGAGTTTGACATCATCCAGTTCAAACTCCTCCAAACACGTCTTGTTCAACTCAGGATCCAATGAAAGTATGGAACTCTAACCGGTTTCGAAAAAAACTGGTCCTGTATCGTAGACGAAGTGGACAGCTGCCACAACGATACATAAAACGCAGGGAAAACTAGGTATAGCCCACGGAATTGCATATTACGACAAAACCTTCATCAACTTAGGAAGATATTGGCCACCTTTAGGACCTCATTTCTACTTATAGAGGGCCTCCTAACCCATCCCACGGGCAGAAAAATCAATCAAAGAATGAGAGTTATATCGTTTTCCGACGATTTTTTTGTCATCAAAGATAAATTCTGAAATCGTTGCAACCGTCTGTCTACATTCAATATCGAATTACCGCAGATTTTAACAACACCCTATAGCTCCCTATGCAACCCTGCGCCAGACGTTTGGAATTTGAACCACAAACTATCATTTACTTGAGACACCTATGGCGTCAGAATGGTTTATCCCTAAATCTGAAGGGACTTGTGTATCAAGCTACAGTATGGGCTGTTTTGTTGTATGGCTGCGAGACTTGGCCTATTCGAGCAGCGGACCTGAGACGTCTTCAGGTGTTCGACAATCGTTGTCTCAGATGAGACGCCTATGGCGTCAGAATGGTTTATCCCTGAATCTGAAGGGACGTGTGTATCAAGCTACAGTACGGGCTGTTTTGTTGTATGGCTGTGAGACTTGGCCTATTCGAGCAGCGGATCTGAGACGTCTTCAGGTGTTCGACAATCGTTGTCTGAGAACCATAGCTCGTGTGGGTTGGTGTCGGCGAATCCGTAACGAGGCAGTTAGAAAGCGTGTTTTCGGTTGTGTAACGGGTACTTCCATTGAAGAATGTGTCCAGCACCAGAAGCTGCGTTGGTTGGGACATGTGTTGCGTATGCCGAAGAGAGTACTGTTTTCCATGCCCAATTCGGAGTGGCGTAAACAGAGATGTGGCCAGCCCATGACCTGGCAGAGGAGTATGAAGGAGATCACGAAACGCTTGGGTGCTTTCGGTGCTACTCGCCTTCCAGGATGGGGACCGCTTGATCCTCACTGTGCCTGGTTGGAGACACTACAAGATATGGCTGCCACCCGATGTCAGTGGCGTTCTTGTTGTCAGTTTCTGTCCAGGTTGCCTGAATGAACGTCTGGGGGTGTAGGCACCTCGGAATGATTGTGTTAAGCTAGCACTAAGTCCCTCTCCCATCCACCTTTATTCTTTTCTTTACAATAAGGCTCTCAAATAAGCCATGGTTGTACGGCAGTGAAGCATCGGTGTTGAACACTGATGTCATGCTGTCGATGATGATGATGATGATGACTTTTTTCATGTATAAACATAAATTTACTTATTAAACATCCCATTGAAAATGCATGCGGACAGAGCACATCACTATGTCAAAATATGATTTACAAGGTCTCTTCATAAATCTAGGTTCTCATATATTCCTGCGAATTATGAAGGAAAGTGTGGGAATCACCATCAACGTCATTATCAGCTGTAAAGTCCACACGCGTGCCTCACAGTGGTTCTGGCTGCAACAGTTTCTTTCAACGATGGTTTGGAGAGATAGCTGCTCATTAGAGGTGGTGGCTAATTGTCGACGCAGAACTACGACGTAGGTATATAAAACATTTGCTAGAAACGGTTGTGAATAATATGATCGGCTGGCTAGTGAGGCGAAAAGCAAGCTTTTTTCTTTTGCCTCCACTGTTGGTGCGAAAGTCTTTCTGAACGATCGGTGTGAACACAGTGGGAAGGATAAGTACTTGAGAAAGCCTGAGTTTATATAGAGTCCCACGAATCCAGCATTTCCTAATTTCACTTTTTGTGCTGGTGTTCGATTGATTCACACGAAAGCCGTCATCAGTGCTGAGATTACCACCTGGAACTTGATTGTAACGATCGATACCAGTAAATAACGTCAAAACCGCATGATTGCAGAAACAGACTTGTCCGCACAGTACCGACAGACGTCAAAATACCCTCTACAAGACACGAACTGCCTGCCATTTCGTCGACGTACCTAAATTTCAAGTTGTACACGTTCCTCTACAAATCCTCCTGTCAACATGTATTTGTTTAGGCCCGTGCGCGTAGCGAGAGGCCACATGCACCGTACGTACATCAGAATATCGGCGGAATGTGACGAGTCTTCACCCGCACAAAACACGTCGTGCGCCGATCGGAAGCCACCTGCTCACTCAGTAGCACGAGAGAGAACACTAGACAGGCTAACGTATGTGTATGTGATTCACACCACATTAGCTGCAACAATCACTTGGTTTGTGACGCTTGTTGAGCAATGGAAGCAGGTGGAGCCCATGTCAGATTTTTTATGAGGTCTGAGTACATCTTCGGTATTAACGACACCTCCTCAGATAGTGTATTAATTTGGCTGTGGAAAGCAAGATTGTAAAATAAAAACAACATTATTTTCTTGTGGTTGTTCACATTCACCCTCTGGGTGACTTCAGCGACTAGCAGGGTGTTCAGCTTTAAAACGTTCCTTCATCGACTGGGACAACCCAGTAACACCGCCTGGAAGTGAATTGATGCATACTGATACAGCACCAATAGACTGATGGTGAAATGTCTGGAAACAAACTGGCGCGGTCATCGAAAAAATCAACGGTCATTCATGAAATCTGAGCTAAGATTTTCCTCAACAAAAACCACATTCAGGTTTCACATAGTAGGGTTGTGATGCTGCAGTGAACCAAATTGGAGCTTCTTTCGTCTTCCTTATTCGTACTTGAGTTCCCATTCAGGGTTATCTCCGACGGTTTTAGCTGAAAATAAGACCAGAATGCACGCTGAACCTATGCGATTTCAGTGTGTGTTTATCCGCATAATTCGCCTACGGTGTTCTTCGTCAACCTGGCGCTCTGTGTGACAATAGAATGTTTTAAAAAAATGTACAGAAGACATCCTAGGTCTGATGTACCTATCTTTGCTTTTTTGTTCTCACGCGTCACTTTCTACGTTCATCCTACTTGAGATTTACATAGAAACACCCAGACAGCTCACAAACAAGTGAAAATAGATTAGCTTTGTTCATTTTGTACCCATATTATTCTCCGAGAGAGCTTCACTGTACATGCCATAAGCCATTTTAAAAACGTTTTTGCTTGATTCTTCTTTCAACCGTTTGATACAAACATCCCCGATACCCTCGAAACTCGGCTGATATCGGGAAATCGTGTTTGTAATTCATTTCCGCAAGTTGGTGCGCTTTTAACGATAACAACGATAGTTGTTAATTGGCAATCAAGTTTCCCTGTTTACCAAGCCCTGAATAAGTGAAAATAGCACGCATTCTGAACATTAATAAACTTGCAAATTTAGTTGCTGATAAACAGAATTTGACGACTTTGTTGAGCTTTCACATTGAGCTATTTAACATTGTATTGGGTAAATTTTCTTTCTCTCTTCAGTGGGTGTTTGTGTGTAACCGAAAGTCGAATGATACGTAAGGCATTCCTACATCGAATTCTCACTTATAAAGATGCAGTGAGACTTCAAATATGTATGTGAATAAATTAATCCAACCACAATTTATGATGAGTCGTGCTCACTCTTTTTCTTCAGTGGCAAACTTGAAACAATTGCAACACCTAACGCACCTATTAAGTACTCAAAAGCACACGTCCCCATAAATAAGAATGATGAACGACATGATCGTCAGATACCCGATTTTGTTTCGCATCAGTCTACAGTAGTGAACCTGGGGTCCTTCCCACGAAGCCACATCCAAAACCGTCTGCTTGTCCTGTTACTGGTGTGAACCAAGTCTAATGACGCTGGAGTGTTACAGAAAGATAGTTGCGTAGAAATGTTCAATTGTTGATCCACAATAATCAAACGGGTCAACGTTGCAAACCTTATAGCAGATCCAAAATATGCTAGGGGAAAATTAACAAGATACTGAGTTGAACAATTCTGACTGATCTTTAAGGTCATCAACAGATTCGTTTCATAAAACACTACAGATTTCTAACAGGTGAATGCAATAATGCCAGGTAACCGTCGCAGCTGTGTATTCTGGAATCTCATTTCGGGGATAGCGACTCACCATTCAGACAAGTGGCAATTTAGCCTGTTTAATAGTCTGCCAGCTGACTCAAGTTGGCTTGCAGTTCGAATTGAGTGGTATGTAAGGGTGCTGGTCTCCATGATGGTTAGATGCGCGGCAAGACGATTAAGAAAACATGCCCGTATGCACTGGATGAACGCAGAGAAATGCTTCTTGAAGCTGCTGTGTTACTGTTACCGAGAGTGTCTTCTATTCACGAGACCCTGACAGGCTGTTGTTCGATATTACCCCGCATATCTAAAAGATTCTTCACCGACCCTCAACAAAGCACGCCAGTTATGAAGTCGCCGCGATATCTTCCACTACTCACTACAGGTTTCGCACTTGATCTGCTCATCAGGTTGACGTAATTCCGAAACTTCCGTCAACCTTGTACACTTTATTGTGCCAATTACCGAAATCCGGTTATTGGTGAATTAGTGTGCTTTTAATGGGAGACCCGAATTTATCGTCAGTTTATGTTATTCTCCAACTGAATGTGTTGCAGAAAGCCCTCCTCATGTTTCATTTGGCATGATTTTTGCGTCTTGACAGGACACCCTGCCTATAAAGACACTGACGTCACTTTAACAGCTCATTACTGGTTTTGCCCTTTTTGGTTTCATTAGTAAGAGTGGTTCCCAAGCTACATTTGACTTCCCCGTTAACACAAACACAATGAGCGTTCCAACAGCTTTGTTTTATCAGTTCAGGAGTCCGTAGACAATTGGAGGTAATCGCACTGTTTGGAAGATCACCGCCGAATGTGTTCTGTGACGACTCAAACCGAATACTTCTGTAGGGCTTCCTAGAAGCAGCTTACCTAATTTTACCGAGTAGTCTTACCTTTTGACTGCACCATTTGCTGCACTAAATGCCTAAACCACTGTTTATCCAAGTAGGAAAACATAACTGACATCTAGAAATCATCGTTTTACCTGGCACCTTTCGCGAGAGTCTGCTTGAACAATGGTACCTCATTTTCACAACATATTAACGTTCGGAACGTTTGACGGTTTTCTGGGGATTCGCTGGTTGTCCGACTTAACGTTTGCTATCAACATATCTAACTGGTCGTGACAGTTGTAATCAGAACCCCCCCCCCCCGCTAAGGGTTAAACCAGTCTACCTCTTTTTGATCATGTCTATTTGGGAATACTCATATCAGCCACCCTCATCTAAAATGCATGTGATAAGTACAAGAATTACATGGATTAGTAGTTCATTGTTTCGCTTACTTTTTTGACACATCTCTTTTCCTGGACCCCAACAGTAGCTCTTGGAATTAAACATTGGGCATTGACCGTGACAGGATTCGAAAGTCTTGGCTGAAATGCAAGGAAAGTAAGATATACATTGGGGGCAGTCGAGTGTAAAGGGTGGATAGGCATACGGGAGCTTTACCATAAGACAAATGGGTATGCTGTAAGATGCAAGCAAAAGCATACTACTGGATTGTGGTAGTGGGGGGATATGCATCACAGACGTAGGTAACATAGTGCACAGATTCGTCAGCAAAACGCTGACAAAGCAACTTCGCCATGGTCGATAAGCATACGGGAATAGCGGAAGCCAAGCGATGAGTCATGAGTAGATCGGTGGACTACATCGTAGAGAATAGTTAGTAGGAAATTAATTTCATTCTAATGTTTTATACGCTAAGAGCGTAAAAGAACGCCCCGAAGAATGTTCCAGCAAAAGAAGACGCCAAAGGAAGTATGTACAACGTCACCCACCATGGCTTATACGTAAAACAAATAGATTAGACCGAATTGTTTATACAAGAAGAGACTCGAGTACGTATTGCTCTGAATACAGGACAAAAATCAGCCAGCATACACCAAAATGCAGCGAGGGACTCAGGCAACCAAACATGCTTTATCAGCTTACAGGTGAACCTTTTGATGTTCTAACCTATTACCGCGATGGCACTTGCAAGCTGATCCCGAAAGTTATTAGACAGTTCAAAATGTTTTTTTCCGGAAAGATTTTTTTACCTGCTTAGACATATTTCGTATGTTTCCTCCCGTCAAAACGTTGAGTCATTTTAAGTAGGTGGTCTCTTCTAGAAGGGTTTACATTCGAAGGAGATATCAAGGAGTCTGTCAAACGTTTTTATGATAAACTATCTCCTCAGGGAGGGTCGCTGTACTGTTACTAAAAGGAAGTCTTTAGACCGTTTGTAACAACAGTACTAAAATCCGAGCATGACACCCATATAAGAACGCAGGGTAAGAGCCATCACATCGCATATTAGTCAAACTATGCTTTAAATATATACAGATATGGAGATTTGCATTACACACCCTAAATCATTTGCCTCGAGATTCACAAATGGGCTTGTTGTTCAAAAGAAGCTCGTGCAAACTTCGTATAGAGCCAGTTACACCTTTACGTGCCCCATATAACCCTTCTTCTAGGCCTTCTATGCTTTCACAATGAATACTAACGGGGCTATCCAAAACCGGTCGCCCCAGAGAAATACATACTGTAGAAGCTGCTCTACATAGTTGTTGTTTTTTCATTAAAACATCTAAGTTTGTTCTGTAATTGTGGAGCACTAATATAAATGGTTCTGGTTGATGCAGATTCAGGCTGACCGTTCCTATCATAATCAAGATAACTCATCCTACTCTAAGTCTTTTTCACAGTTCAGCCAAAGCGACCATCTTTAAGCCCCAATGGGTTCTGGTCAGTCTTGTCAAATTCTTGTCACTGACCATATGAAATGATTGCGCCCTTATGATCAGCATTTCACCTACTGCTCTAGAGCGCCAGAACCGACGGTCGATAAGTATCAATAAGGTATTTTGAGTTCAAGAGGGTCACCAGTTTAATGTTCATCCTCTCGCAACGAATGTCCATCACCAGTTTCAAGGGATTCTGCTCTAGTTTAGTGGTCCCCAAGCTAATGTTAGTGACTTTCGCAGGGTTGCCATGGGTTTTGAGCAAGGCAGCGTAGTTATTTTCATTTGAGATTAGCTTCTACGGAAAGACAGACAAGCACCAAAACGGTCGTCACCTTCCTCCGGCAGAGAAGCTCAGATATGAAATCAAGCTTTAGGACAAACACGAAACAAATCACTGTTTCAGTTCAAGTTTTATCATATATCGTAATGATATTGCTTCTCGTTTGTCTAAATCCCTTAACTTTATTTCAAAATCTCAAAGGCAATTAATCTTGATCTCTCACTATTTACTCTACCTTGAAGCTGTTTGTGGATAAAACTTCCTCAAGACAGTCCTACCCTGAGTTTCACTGAACTGAACGTGTGATGTGATAAGGTGAACCGTAGGTGCACGTTACAAAAGACGTCAGTGCGCTTCAGACGAATTTTATGGTCATATGTGAAGGGAAGAAAGATATTATCGCAGTAAAATTGTTGAACAGACTGAACGTCGAGGCTGAAAATTAATTTAACATCATTTAATTTAATTGACCTGTCTTGATTTGATTTGAGTGAGAAGAATTGGACCGCATATGTGTACAATTTCAAAATAAGCCACAAGTGATTCTTTGATGAAACAGACGATAAAATGAACGGGAATGCACGAGGAAAGTGCCAAGTGATACTTGAAACTTGGACCAGTGTGAAAACTTCCCTAAGAGTAGACGAACCCGAAATACAAACATTGTTGGGACATAGACCGATTAACCAAGTCTGTCGAAAATGGAATCTAGTTGATAATACAAAATATTATTGGACTATGAAGCACACCACTACAACATTCTCCTATACATCAGCAATATAGACAACAGAAAAGCAGTAGTTTTCACTAATGATTAATCTCCACACAGAATAATGATTTGCAAGTGGAGTGGGAAAGAATTTAGGAATAATTAACAAAAAGAACCTGAAGGAGCTAGCGAAGTCATCGTCATTCCTCTCATTGAATGAAGTGGACAACAGCAGAGGCACCAGATGAGTACACTGATGTTTCAGTGTCGTACAGCCATGTCATTTTATTTGAATAAGGCCTTATAATGCAAAGAAAAATGGGACAGAGATGAAGACCTAGAGCTAATCCATCACAAACATCCGAAATGCCCACACCTTCAGCAGTCAGTCAAACAATCTAGATAGAATCTGAAAACATGGTTGTCACATGGCTGTCTATTAATCGCCATTCACTGCCCAGCACAGGCAGGGCCACAAAGGCTCCAGCCTAACAGCAATATTTTGTCTATTTCCAGATTCCCGCCACTTCAAATAAGGCAGGCTGTTTTCGATGGGCGGTGAATTAGCAAGCGTAATATATGGCTCAGCCACAAGTTTCCAGTCCTGGACCAATTCTGCTCCATCAGATGCTCGTTTCCTAGCCAACACGAATTGGCTGAATCCATCCGATTTCAGCGACAACTCTTAAACCTCAGTGTATGCGGTGCGAATGTTAATAACGCGACCACCACAACCATTCCTTTCGTGGTAGATAAACACTACCGAGTTGACCAATCTTGTACATGGTTGGCATGTACCTCCTCAGCCGAAGGATCATGCTGAAAGGGTTAAACATAAGGCAAAAGTTGACAACGCAGAATCGCTCAAGTGCTCTGGAAAGTGCTACCGGAGAAACTAACAATTTTCATACCCAACTTGGCGGAGTGGAAGGTTGTATAGGTTGTGGCTCGAAAGCTGGGGTCACGACATCTATGGCGCCATCTGGATTTTATTATTGAAAATCTTGTTTTGTTTATCATTGGATTGGCAGATGAGGCATAGATGTGTGAATTGTTTCGTCATTTCTGATGTCCGGCCATTCCCAGTTTCACCAGATTTCGTGTTTGTATCCCAGTTGATCTTGTGTTTATATGAGACCGGATGTGGAACACCAGCAACTGGACATAGACAACAAGCCCATAAAATCATTTTATTGCTGAAAACAACATTAAGTTGACAATAGCAGCAAAGTGTGCACAAACAGAAAATCCGATGTCCGTAGTACCACTGTCATATTCGATCTTATTTACCTCAGATCAAGCCCACAGTAATTTTTTGTATGAGCCAGAACATCAAGGTTGACTCGTTCTGGAAAATTTACTAAAATCTTTTTTTCCAAATTTAGTTGCCGAAGCGTAATAATGCGGAATTAGTCGGTGAAACGACACCCGAATGCTTGAGTCACACCAGAATCCAAGTGGCCTATATCAATATAGGAAGTCTGTCATCAAAAACTAAAGTGATACATTTTACCCGGACCAGAGAATAAAATGAGCAAGTATCTTATTTGAGAAGGTTTGTATCATAAGTGTTCATCTGACTGAAGGAACATAGCATCTAGAATATTCCTGAAGCAGGTTCATCCAATCATCCGAAGTGCATTAGAAGAGGTGGAACTATTGAAGCACATCCTTTACTGTACCATTGGCTCCAGCTCTGATAGCTACTTTAGGCAGAGTTCTTGATGAAGCTGTTAAATCTTGAGTAGGATTCCTTTGGAAAAGCTAGATAAGGGTTTCGTTCGGCTGTAGCACCCTTTCGGTGCCTAGCTGCCTCGCCACACGAAGGAGGCACAAGGGTTTTGATACTGTCAGGTCACCCAAGTCTAGACAGGGGAAGTCGAGTGGCAGAGGTCGGGTTCGAACCAAGGACCTTTCGGTCAGTAAATTCGCGCTCTAACCACTTGGTAAGAAATGTTGCCTCAGGCATTTAGGTGGAACGGGTTTCAATCAAGGTTAGCTTAGCACGGATGTCGATAAATAAGGGAGCCACTTAGATCATAATAGCCTTACTCAACAGGGGAAAGTACTCAATGTGATGTCTCCATTTATGTAATGTCCATGTAGTGGGTAGTGATACGCAGTCTCTTCATTTGTTTGGGAGTCATGAAAATCGGCACACAACTGCAATGTGTGACACCAAGCCGGTCGCATGTCTGAGCGTCCGACTGCGAAGCTGAACAACCTAAGTGAAGAAGCAATCTGCATGTTCCATTTAATGCTACGAAGATTCGTGACACGCACTATGGAGACTCAAAAATTAACTGAATAGGGGCCAGTAAAATGCCGTGTCTGAGCAAGGAGGAATTACATCAAGCAGTGAGTGGTGAAGAAAACAGTGAGGAAATGATCAAAAGTATAGGGGATCGCCGCCTGAGCTCATTACATATTGGCCGAGGTAAGAAACTTTGGGGAACAACGCTTTGGGTGGGTCGGTCAGAAATCTTCAAGAATTACTTTATCCCAATGACAGCGATCCCTTATCAGAGCTTCGCTGTATTTCAGAAACCACTCAACCGACTGAAACCAACTACTCTGACTACTAAAATCACAACTTATATAAGTGACGTTGTGTAGCTTTTCTTTTCCTGAGAAAAGCAAAGCAAATAC